TTTCGAAAATCTCCCCATCTTGGTTCGACAGAATTTGCGCCATTTGAATTAATGTTTGGACAAGAAATGTGGTTACCTTTTGATGCATCCCTCCAACCAAAGGACAATTTACAACGCGATGCCAAACAATACATGAAAGATCTCCTAGACCGGCTCAAAGTTTCAACTGATCTTGCCAAAGCCAACGATCTCCACAACCAATATAAAAACAAAGAATACCATGACAAAAATGCCAAACCACCTGACTTTTCCATTGGAGATCTTGTCCTTATGAAGAATCACAAAGTCCCCACTGGTCTATTGCATAAGCTCTACGACAAGTCTGATGGACCGTACCGGATTGTTGGTAGAGGACAAAATTTCACCTACAAGCTTCGGCGCCTCTCAGACAACAAACTGCATGTTTCCATGATAAACGCAACGAACCTCAAGCATTACTATCCCCCCGAAGATATTCGACAAAGACTCGCGATCCCAGATGCCATTGTTCCACCAACTGATAATGTTGATGCCCCGACAGTACCCACTAATGATGGACCTCCTCCAGACAATCAACACCGACCCGATAATGACCAGGCCATCAACAACCCTCAAAATCAATTCCCTGCTGCACAAGAACAACAAGCGTCATCCCAACATGATCAGCAACTACCTGACACTCCTGATCTGTTACAAGACAATCCAGCCGAGTTACAGTTCCAATCCCAGATTCCCGGAAACACGCAAAACACAAAGAAATGGAATTTCTAGAAAATCCTACGTGGTAAAATGAAAAACGGTGTGCGCCATTTTTGCATCAAGTGGTTAGACGGAACAACCACTTGGGAGCCAGAGACATGTTTTGATGCTGACGTTCTCCATGATATCAATCGTAGATTCACCATGACTGGAAAATTTCGCAAATCAAATTTCAAACGCACTGCATAAGGCAATTTTATTTTCACCATTTTTATATTGCTTCAATGATTACCACATTCATTTTTATTTATAAGCAATCTTAGACTTATACTTAACGTTTCTGTCTGTGACTTTTCAAGCCAATTATGATTAACACAAGAGGTACTCGACACTTTGAGGTTATGTATTATAGGTAATTAAGAATATGGTCACTTTTTGTGTAAGGTTTTATGTTGCATGCAACACATTACTTTTACTTTTATGTGCTAAAAATTTTTATTTCAAATCAACGAAAAGAAATTTCTATGAGTTATAGTCGGTCACCCTTTAAGTAGGTTTCCTGCTGATATTTAGTGCTGGATTGTATAGCTGATCACTTAACTTTCATCGATTGTACTATATCTCATAACTCCATTTAGGTTTATTTTGGATCTGTAGGAAAACCTTCACATAATGTTTTGATCATGACTTTTTACTTACGACTTGCATATTTTTTTTTCATGGTGTTCACCTCAGCATCCTTAAGAGGAATGCTTTGCAGAGAATTTGATCTTCCTAATGCTTATCAGCAATTGTCGACCAGTTCTTTCATGCATATTTTGTGTTCTGATGATGTGCTACTGTGTTACCATATGCATCTACATGTAATTGGTACTGAATGGTTAAACAAATGAAACTATTGTCGTGGTCAATATTTGCATCACCCAATCTGGATACTCTTACACATATAGAATCCCTTATGCTTATTACGAACTATCTAAATTATTCTAGATCCACATTTACATGTGTAGTATATTGCGAGATATATTTTATGCTTGCTCTGTATGACTACGTTCTTAAAGTCCAAATTTTCATCATTCAGTCTCATACAAAGCTTTGAGGGCCCAAAGCTATTGGGGCCATGGGGGTATGTCACACTTAGATTTTGACTGTTTTTACATTTTTGTATAAATTCATTCAGTCGCATATAAAGCCTCTATCAACGCGTTAATATTATTATTAAATAATTATATTTTACATTCTAAGATATGTGTCACGTACTTTCCTTAATTCAATAGTTTCTGATTGTTGTATAAATATTTAATATTTTGTTTACTTTATGGTTCAAACTTATCTTTTTAAAATTGTGACATCTGAGTCTAATTGTATTTGATTATTTTTTTTTAATCTTTGATGTACATGTAATTATTTTTTTTTATCACTGTCAGACATATGTAAACCAATTAATTGTTAAGTTCCAAGACGTCATAATTACGCGAGTACCTTGTTTTCTCATGTTGAGTTGTTTTCGCTTCAAATTGTTTATAACTGTCATTTAATTATCATTACTCGTTAATTGCCTTTTCACTTATTGTTATCTTAAAAATCTTGAGTTTAATTTTTGATTGGTCCTTTTTCAAAACCTATTTCTTTAAATTGGGCAAGAGTTGGGAAATGCGCATCCATTCTATGAATGCGCTAATAAAGACATAACATTTATATTTCCCACTCTTCGCCTCTAGTCGCCCTGGTCGTACATACTGTTTGTTTGTTTTTGTAAGATATGAAAATGTTTGTTTGTCTAATTTTCTTTTTTGAAACATTTCTTTTAGTTTGTTCTATACTATAAGTTTTATAGTTTATATCAAACTGTCAAAGAATATCATATTCTTGATGTGAAATCATATATAAAACCAACAAACACATTTCAATATTTTCACCGCCACAGCGCTCACCCCAAATCAGTATTTAAAGGTTTTATTAAGGGGGAATGTATAAGAGATGTTCGCAATACAAGTGAAAAGACACAATTACATAAAGAAGTTCTGTGTTCAGAACACATTTTTTAAAACGAAAGTAAACGAAAATTGAGATTGACCCAATTAGTAATGACTCCTTGGCTTTAAACAGAGTCATAGGTACGAGAAACCAAGAAAACAAAGGAAATACCTAAATGTTTTAATTACAAAGCTTGATCCAAGAATCAAAGGTCTAATTATCATTAAAATACTGGTCATTAATCTTGAAATTTTTCAAACAAAACCAATGATTGCATATGATAAGCAAGTATTGGGGATTTGCATACAAATGCTTTTTTGCCACAATAGAAATTATGACAGGATCCCTGTTGAAGGCGGGGCCGTAATATAGATTTTTAATACACTAATCCCAGCAGGCCAAGCAGATAATTAATCGTTACTCTTTCCATTCTCTGTGTTCAATTTCTTCATATCATGATCTGTACATAAAAATAATTTCTAAAAAAAAAAGTAAGCAGCGCTTCATACTTCAAACTATTTTCCATGTGGCTCTAATGTCATTTTTGTTTATGAAAATCAATATTACAAATTTAAAATTGTCTAAGGTGAATTTACATGTATAGCAGAGGGTCGGGACCCATTAAAGGAAGACGTACGGTATATCACTATATGAAAAAAAATATATATTGTAAACAGTTAAGATTTAATTTCCTATCAATAGTTAATTGTGTTTCAATAATTTTGACCAAAATACATTTTATAAATTAATCATGTTACAAAACCCGATCATTCATAAACGTTTTGTATTTTCACATGTGAAATAGTCCAGAACATGAAAACATTCCAAGGTAAGATGCAAATCTTATATCAGCGAAAAATACGATTGGACCACTCAGCGAAGATCCGACGTTGAATCAATGTTGGCAATTCAACTCAATTTGAATTTAATGTTGAATCAACGTTACATTTTCAACGCGGTAGAGTCAACGTTGAATCAATATTGTAACTAGATTTATCAACGTAAAATCAAACTTCAACTAATATTCAACGTTTAAACTACGTTGTGTGCCTGCTGTGATACGATATAAAACCGTTGAAGCACACAGCTGAAAAAAACCAATAATGTTAATAAGTCATAACTTATTCAAAACGATGTCAAAATCAAAGAGAAATTAAAAAAAATCACAGCACTGTGTCAGGTCCTATAAATTTAGAATTGCGTGGTTGATGTGTGTTGCACATATGCACGTGATTTGAATAGATAAAAAGAAAATTAGAATCTTACCTCTCTATATGGCATCAATTTCTTTATTATATCTTTAACAGTCAAATATTGTAATTTATTTACTAAAATAAAAATGGTATCCTGTCACAGTGTGAAAGAATGTAGAAAGTGTGGGAAAACTCAAGATTTTGCTTCCCTTCACCAAGAGTATTGTAAAAAAAAATACTCCTTAGCCTGTAACAAAATAGAAAACAAGTTTATAAACCATGCTGTCATAAAATAAAACTCTGAAAATTTCCCGAATCTGCTGAAATTCATGTTTACAATGTTTTTCACTCAGCTATGACGTCTAAACCGGTCAATTATGACGTCATGTAGCCTAAGATTGCAAAATACGAAGGCAAAGGGAAAATCAAAGAAAATGTAATAAACAGAAAATTCATTGTTTTGTAGAGGGATATGGAATTTTTTTCAATAGTGAGACAGGATTTGTTTTTATATTTGCACTCGTGAAAATATAAAAAAAAAAATCCTGTCCCACTCCTGAAAAAAATTCCATATACAACTACAAAACATTGAATATCCTCTATATCTTTTTGGCTTGATCACACTTTTTACATCTGATGATGAATAAGGGATAATTTAGGATACTATCGAATATAGGTAACGTCACAAACGTTCCGTATTCTTTAAAACGTGGAGGAAATTCGGTAGATGGTGAACAATTTGCACCTAGCCCATATTAATTTTCAAATTACCATTAATCAATAATAAAAAGTAAGTAAGAATAAAGGTCAATACATATCATTCATTCAATCATTCATCGAATCATTATTTCAACGATTCATATCACAAGAAACATCTTGTTTACTTATTCATAACAAATTCATAACATTTACATCAACAAATTTCATTGCAGTGGAATCCAATTTAACAGTATGGAAAATGAAACTTTAATAAAGTAACGGTGTACGAAGTATATGTTAATTTTTTAATGATAAACTTTGAGGAAAAGGTGTTGGTAAATGCACAGTATTGCAAGAATTCTAAGACAATTTTGTGAGCTTTTTCAAAAACCCAACTTCTAATTTTCAGGATTTGATGATCAGACTTTCTTTCGTGTGTTGTGTAGAAATATTCAGGCAGCCTTGATATGACTGTATTACACGTTTTGGCATATGTTATGCTACAGTTAGATATCCCAAAGGTAATTATGGTAAATGAAATAAATGAATCTTTCTTCTGTCAAATCAACTACCTCAGAAACTTATCTTTATACCAGTATACTCAGTAATTTGGTTGTTGAAGATGAAAAAAAAATGACAAGTTCAGACAGTAAATACAAATTAATTAACAATGTATGTATCTGAGTATGTTTTTCCGTTTGTGAGTGTTTCATTATATAAGACAGTGTTATCAAAATATTTTAAACTTTACAGTTTATCACTGCAAAGTATGGTTTTACAACTGTTAAATCGATTTAAGAGATTATGACACTCTGTATATATGTTACAAAAATCAAAACTTTTTTCTTTCCTCATTTTTAGAGGATTGACTCGTTGGGATACGATTTTCCTGTGTACCCAACAGAAATTTGCCCAATGACTGCCAAGGAATGGTCTAATGCAGCTATTCAGTTAGATTGCAACGAAACACATGGGTATCATTGTGTCCCTGATAAGAATTTTTCATCCCTTATACAGTTTTGTTATCCACGAGGAAGAAATATTCCTTTCCAAAAAGGTATATATAAATTCTCAATATACTGATATATTTTCCAATTAAAGTGCGAGATGCATTTTTCCTATAGTGCGTACAAATATTAAATATTTAAGGAGGCTGGTGGGTCAACAAATCAATTCCAAATTAACCACCAGATTTAATTTATTTTTTTTAGGTACGGTATCTTTAGCTGTCAACTATCATTTGGCAAAGAAAAAATTCATATATCTTAATTTTAAAATTTGTTTATTTTTGTATATCTTTATTATATGGAGCTCTCCTTTCAAAGGAGATTGAAATAGTCTAAAAATGCCACCCCCTAGCCTCGTTAAAGTACCAGTATCTCATTGAGAGAGTCAGCAAGATTCCTTTTCCCCAAGAATAAGTCTATTTCTCGACGCCTAGTCGAGGGAAATAGGCTAGTTGGAGAGGAACTGGAATCTTGCTGACTCTCTCAATTATATACTTTATTAGAATAACTGTTTTATTATATCGACAGAAAAGTTACATTTTCAAAGACAGTACATGAAATTCTATTTTAAATACAATACAATTATATAGGAAATGGAATACGATTAAGAGAAATTGCTGTTCTGAATAGGTATGTATCAGCTCATCAAACTGATGGACCTTTCTGCAGGGAATCAGTATTTTTTTTTTTAGCAATTTTTAAGAAATCAGCAAAATATATACTCTTAGATGTAAGTAGAGAAAAATCAATAGAGGTATAATAATATTATTTATTTTTATGCATGTATTTTAGGTAATTGTTTGGAACTCGCCTATACTGGAATCCTAAACCACGTAAAGTGTGGCCATTTCATTTATGGTTGTCCAGAAAAGGACTATTTCAGTAATGAAATTTATCGGTGTAAGTGACAAAAAGGACAAATATAGAAGGGTGAAAATTTGCCTAAAATAATACATTTTTCGAGAAATTGCTGTTTGAAAAAAATAGAATAATAATATTTTTTATTTTGTTTTAATTTGCAGATCCGGCTTGCCTAAGATTAGTTGCTAAATGTTTTGCTGCAGATCTAAATTGTTTACGAAAACGATTCACCATGTGAGTGCAACTACTATCAAATATTTAGAAGTAATTCCTTTAAAAAAAGAAAAACTTAGGGAGCATTAATTAATACGTTTGCCTAATTTTGACTTATGGTTAATAGAATAGTTGCCGATGATTTCGTGAAATTAAATTACTTTAATCAATGTCAGCATTACACTCTTTTACAGGGGTCTCAAGGGAGTTTATTTTTGTGTATAACATTGTCCCAGAATTTTATATCTATGCCTCCATTTTAAGTTTTTGTCTGAAGGTTTTCCAAAATCCCGCTTTCTGATAATTCAAGAACATTGAAACTTCACACAATTTATTTTCAAATATCTTGACTCTTTATATAATTAGAAGAAATTCATTTGAAGGCTAATTTACATTGATGTTGAAAATGACACATAGGGTACATGGTATACACAGCGACCAGAAAGTGTATGTCAATCAAGTTCTAGCATCCAAAAATGGACTTTGTTGCATTGATTACCAGTGGAAAACTGGCCATGTATGTTTGTATGCAGTACTTTAAATCTCTTGCTTTTACTCTTGTTCTTGGCTATGTGTATATGTTAGACACCTTGTCAATTTGTTAAAATCGGGGCCGGTGTTTCATACATCGTGCCAATATGCAACCACAGATCAATATCAGATGAAATACATATTACATTGGGCTAGCACTGGACTGTGAAATCGGGTCTTAATTTAGACGTTGCCAAAAGTGAAAATGTCAAACTTCCTTTATCAATATTGGTTAAATCTTACCTACAGGTAAAGAAAAATTCGGTTGCTGTCAGTAAATTTCAAAATTCATTTAAATTAACGTAATTAACTTTGTTGAAGGAGGTTGGATCCTGCCATCAAAAGTAATGAGAGTTTTTTTATCAAGTATATTTTTGAACTTATACATATAGCTTCATTAAAAATCAAAACAAGATGGAGGACTTTGCGCTTCTTTTGTCGCTACAGAACATTTAGTTTGACCTTTTTCAACTGTAAATTCTTTTTACTTATAAATCAACGTTTTAAGTTTTTCCTTCTATATATTTTGTTCAAGTAAAGTATGGACACAGTCAGGTCTCAAAATCAATCAGTCAAAAACCCAAATTGTGTGGATTGGAAGTAAGAAGTATTCTGAGGATAGACTCTGCCCTGATCTGAATTTTCAATGGACAACAAACTTTAAACTTTTAGGCATTTATTATGATGTTGACTTAGCAAAAATTACAAAACTAAACTATGACAAGAAACTGGTCAAAATTAAGACCACCATAGAGCAATGGAAAAAGAGAAACTTAACTCCTATTGGAAGAATCACATTGATTAAATCATTACTTATATCACAGCTTAATCATTTATTTATTACTTTACCAAACCCATCTGTAAGTGTTATAAAAGATCTAAACAAATTGATCTTTAACTTTTTATGGAAATCAAATGTAGACAAAATAAAAAGAAAAGTTGTAACACAAAAGTATGCACAGGGAGGATTAAAAATGGTTAATATTGTGTCCTACATAACAGCTTTAAAATCTACATGGATAAGAAAAATAATATATGACAATAACTCAAAGTGGAAAAAATTATTTGAAAATAGTGTTGAGATTGATAAACTTTTAAATACAGGATCAGAATATTTGTCACTTTTACAAGAGAATGTACAAAATAATTTCTGGAGAGATGTTTTGAAAGCTTTCCAAGAAATTCAAGAGAAAAAAGAGATAAGAAATTGGCAAGAATATGACTGTCAACCTTTGTGGCATAAAAACAATTTCAAAATCGAAAATCAAGCAATATTTTACAAGTCTTGGTATGCAAAGGGACTAAAATATGTATATGATCTTTTAGATGAGAATAGTAACTTCCTATCACTAGACAATATTCAACACAATTATGATTTGAAAATTAGTCATTTAACTTATACAGGCATACGACAAGCGATACTTGCAGATTTAAAGAAGTATAACTTTTGTAGAAATGGATTTATTCATAAACCAGATATTCCGTGTAATATCAAAGTCTTTGTATTAACCAAAAAAGGATCAAAGCCTATGTATGATATATTAAATAAATCAGTAATAAAACCTGTTGGTATGGGAAAATGGGCAAAATTTTTCACCTTGACAGATACAAACTGGAAGGAAATTTATTGTCTGCCCTTTTAACATCCCAAAATAGTAAATTACAATGGCTTCAATACAGAATTAATCATTATATATTGACAACCAATAGTCTTATGTTTAAAATAGGTAAAACAGACTCTAACCTATGTACATTTTGTGAAGCAGAGGAAGAAACAATATTTCATTTAATTTGGCAATGTCCAGTTGTAAAAGAATTTCTAGATGGTTTTGTAAGACATTGTCATCGAAAAGACATTATATTAAATCTAGATGGTAAAACTTTTATATTTGGAGATATAAGTAAAACAATATCATCAAAATCATTAAATATTTTGCTTATGTCAATGAAGCAATATATTTACAGAGTTCGTTGTCTACACCTTAGCCTCTCTATCCATGGTTTTCTGAATGAATTCAAACTTATTTATAAAACTTTGAAATATACAGGCAGAGAAAGTGATAAAATAGATGAGTTTAACATATCCTGGCAAAAATGGCAATCCATACTCTCAGACTAATATCAATAAACCCTGTCTCAAAACTAGTTTTGCTACCTACTCTATCTATAACCCACTTTCTTTTATAACATCATCTCTTTCTCTTTCTTTCTCTTGCATTCTCTCTCTTTCCTCTCTCTCTCTCTCTCTCTCTCTCTCTCTCTCTCTCTCTCTAAAAATGAATGCTGCAATGAAATATTGTGTTCATCTTGTATGTTTGTACTGTATAGCATTGTGGAATTCAAATAAAAAAAAAAAAAGTATGGACACAGTAACTGTCTTATTTCATCTTTAAAAGAGACATTAAACGAATGGAGGCGTACAAGGCGAGGACAATCCCCTGCGATGAGAAAAGACATTTCTCAATCCTAAAAGTTATATTTTTTAAATATTTTATACATAATTCATATTTCACTCATGTTTTTAAGATATATGTAAACAAAAAAGAAAAAAGATTCATGTATGATTCAAACTCTCTCCATAGCGCAGGGTTTGGTTCAAGACCGACCGCTTTAACCACTACGCTACCAAGAATATGAATTATCGATGTCTGTCAGTGTGATTTAAATGAACGGGGTTGCTGAAGCGTACATTTTTTTTCGGAAATTTTCAATTTTCATATAGAATGGGTTCAGATTCCATTTTTTTGACGAATGAAATAGATTTCACATTTACGTTTCCATCCTTTAAGCGTTAACAAAAAATGGAGACTTGACCCATTCAATTTCTTTTATATAGCTATAGTAAACCCATTTTTCACTAAATATGCTTAACTGTCAACTTTGAATTAAGATTATCAAATAATAAATCATTCAGTAAAATAAAATGATAAAATGTTTAGAAGATGACATTATTGAGAACATGAATTTAGAAAAATATAACTTTTCTGTGAATTTTGAAAATTGAGAAACATTTTGTCTCAGATCGGGGGATTGTCCAAGCCTAATACGTACGCCATCTTTCTTTGTAAAAACGGGAAATTTTAAAATTGATCCACATATTTAATTATTTGACCTTTCTCACTCAAATGTTTTAATTTTTCAGGTATTAAAAAATTTAACAAAGAAATAATCATTGAAAAGAAATGGCATTTTACTAAACTTAAGAAAAAAGTTAAAAACGAGTATATGTTTGGAAAAGAAAATTAAAAGTGAGTGTCTATGATGTTAATTTTAAGATATTACTAAATCTGTGCTATTTTGAAGCTTCAATTGGGGCAATTTTTTCTTTGTTTTGAAAATATTTATGCTATATTTATCAGATATGATGATAGAATTTATGACAGTTTATTTGATAGATAATTTAAGACCAGTATTAAAAAAGTCTATGTACTTCACAAAATAACTGTGAGTAGACTGCATGTAAAAATAGGAATCCAAAATAAACATACTTTAAATAATTTTAAAGAAAACAAAATAAGTTATCATTTTCTTCTAATACACCTTCCGCCACAAAATATAGTTTCTCACTTTATGCTTTTGGTATTGAATTTAATCATGGAGTTTTAACTGAATATTAATAATAATAATAATAATAATAATAATAATAATAATAATACTTTATTTAAAGAAGGTAACCTGATTAGTGCAAGCACTATTCTTCCCCAGGGCCTTCTGACAATTAACAATTTAAAGATACATAGTTATACACATACAGACATTTTATAAATATATACATAAATATACAAATACAATTAAACAGGAATCACAAATTATTCTGACATTGTTTAACATATTGTTTTACTTGTCTCTTGAAAGCATTAAGAGTTGGTGACATTTTTATGTGCACCGGTAAAGCATTCCATAATATGGCGCCAGAGTACTGGAATGAATTTTCAAAAAGTTTACATTTATGAATTGGCACACACAAATCAACATTGGATTCAGATCGAAGAGTATATTGGTTATTAATTTGAAATTTAATCATTTCATGTAAATAAGTAGGACAATAATTAAAGACGGATTTATATAACAATACATATTTATTTACAGTAAGCTGTTCATAAACAGTAAGCCAATCAAGTTTATCAAAAAGGGGTCTAGAGGGTGCATCAGGGGGAGCATCTAAAATATACCTTGCAGCACGTTTTTGAAGTTTATGAACTCTGTCAAGATTTGATCTGGACGTATTTCCCCAAATTGTTAGGCAGTAATCAATGGTAGGCATAATGTATGCATTATAAAACAATTTACGTGTTTCGAGAGGCAAATATTTTTTAATTCTACGGAGTGCAGAAATTTTACGTGACAGAGTTTTACACACATGGTCGATATGTACATTGTATTGTAAAGAATTATCTAGATATACTCCAAGAATTTTTTCATATGTTACATTGTCTAATTTCTGGTTCGAAACGTATAAAGGAAAATCATGGTCTAAGAATTTTGATCTCTTTTGATGTGTCCCTATTAACATGCATTTAGTTTTTGAGGCATTAAGTATCATTTGATTTTGAGTGCACCATTTTTCTATACAAGCAATATCCATTGATAATGAATTTACTATAGATTGGGAATCTTTGCCGGAAGCATGTAAAGTGGCATCATCGGCAAACAAATCTATGTTTGAATTTTTGATATAAAGTGGAAGATCATTAATGTACATTAGAAACAGAAGAGGATCTAGTATAGACCCCTGTGGAACTCCCGCTGTGACTTGCTGATAAGATGATTCTTTGTTAGACAGATGGACACTTTGAAGTCTGTCACTTAAATACGATCGAAACCAATGTAAAGTTATTTCATCAAAATTATAACATTGTAGCTTTTTAAGAAGAATTTCATGATTTACTAAGTCAAATGCCTTACTGAAGTCGAGAAAGACAGTACCAACAAGTTTGCCTTGGTCCATTTCATATAACCATTTATCTGTAATTTTTGTAAGGGCTGTTTGACATGAATGCAATTCTCTGAAACCTGATTGAGATTCTATTAAAAGATCAAAGTCTGACAATAGTAATCGTACATATTTTGCCACATGTTTTTCTATAATTTTTGATAATGTGGGTAAAATAGAAATGGGCCTGTAGTTATTTGGATCTAGCTTGTTTCCCTTTTTATAAATAGGTGTAACTTTGGCAAGTTTAAAGCTTTTCGGGAAAATACCTGTAGTAATACTAGTATTTATTATATGGGTTACAGGTTTATGTATTATTTGTGCAGTAAGTTTTAATAAATGTGGACCGATGGTATCTACACCTGATGATTTATTAACATCTAGTTTGTTTAGTAAGGAAAGCACTTCGTCAGGGCTTATAAGCGGGATACAAAACATTTCTGATCCCAATTTAGACTGTACAAAATTTAAAAGGCCATCGAAATCACACTCTTCTTTATTTACTCCTTCAAGGAGTTTAGCAGAGACATTTGAGAAATGAGAATTAAATATCTCTGCAATTTCTTGTGTATCCTCTGTTACATTATTATTTTGGCACTGTAGAATCTGAATTTATTGTAAGAATTGCTATATTATGCAGATTTTTTTAACGAGGAATGCCACACCAACTTTTTATTTCATAGATCTCTGGGTCAACCTTTTTAAACAATGGTTTCAGCATTGAAAGGCCGACATTAGCTTTTAATTATTTTATATGAATTTTTTGGTATTTTTTCAAAGAAAATTCAAAAAATTATTTACATCCAAATAAGATGCTTTCATGTAAAAAAAAAAATTGCTGTAAATGAATGCATTACATGAAAACCTAATAAAATATGTAAAGAAAAGCCGTATAGATATTAATTTTTTTTAAATAAAAAAATATTTATGAAAATAAAACACATAATTTGTGAATATTTTTTAAAACTCGTGGTTAAAATCTTCTTTAAACCATTCACAACTGGGAAAACATGTTCAATAATCATATTTATAAAAGAAATTGAAACGAAATAGTCAAATTTTAGAGAAACTATTTTGTTTAATTTAGGCCAATCCCGATCAAAATTAAACCGATCCCAACCATAATTGTAAAATGATTGGAAATAAATAACTATTCCCCAAGAACACTAGTCTGATTAGTTCTTATAAGGGATAAAATATTATTGAACCTAACAATAAAATAGATTTCTTCTTTGTTAATACATGAAGAGGCAATAAGTTAGCATTTTATTCATTTTGTGTACATTTTGATCGGGATCAGTTTCATTTCATTTTGATCGGGTTAGGTCCAAATATTAAAAAAAATAATTTATCTAAATATCTTAATTTAGTTTTCATTTCTTTTAAAAATAATTGAAAACATGTCCTTAGTTGTGACTAGTTTTATGGTGTTTTTAACCATAGGTTTAAAAAATATTCACAAATAATGTGTTTTATTTTCATAAATAATTTTTTTTATAAAAAAAATTAAAAAGTCTAACCAGCTTTCCTTTACATATTTTATAAGATATTCATATCATGCATTCATTTACAGCAAACTTTTTACTCGAAAACAACTTATTTGGATATAAATATTTTTTTTTCATTTTCTTTGAAAAAATACAAAAAAAAATATATATATATATAAAATAATTAAGAGATAATATCGGCCTTTCAATGCTGAAACCATTGTTTAAAAAGGATGACTCAAAGATCTATAAAATAAAAAAGTTGGTGTGGCATTCCACCTTAAATAAGGGTTAAGATAAAAATTGGCTCAAACGCTCAGGTGCAAACTTCGTATAAGTGAATGTTTTTACAACCTTTTTAACATTATTAATTTGATATACCATCATTTCTACAATATGATATTATAACATGATTTAGAATACTAATGAGTTCACCTATAGATGTTGTATTATGTGCTGTGAAATCCAGCTTCTCTTTCGTTCGACCCTTTTTTCCTTCTCGAAACTTTAACCTAATGTCTGAACACATGTAGAACTTTATTTCATCAGAGGTTTAACTGCATTTATAGCAAGATGTGATAATTAAAGTGTTTTGACACATTTTTACTGTAGGATTGATGGAAGAGAGAAGAACTCTACTTATAATCGTGAACAATCACTCGAAGAAGAAAATAATGCGACGGGCTTCATTGTTGCTGTTTTTTCTCTTTCGATTTTGCTTTTAATATTGTGTGGATTAGTTGCCATACTATGTCTGAACATTCGTAAGCTACGTAAGTTTAAAGCACATCTTCATGTTATATTTTCTTCCCACATACGTAAAATTAAAATTCTGCATGTTAAAACATATATTGCTAATTTTATATTTCAGAACCTTTAGTTAAAACTGTTTGAATCAAACCCTTCTATTCTATAAGTTTCTATAAGTTCTATTTATTTCTTTTCATGAACATAAAACTTTAGAACAATTATTGAATAGAAAGGTATTGCACAGTACAGCTAATTCAAATTATATTTTCTGATAATAGTCATTAAACTCCTGCACAATAAAAAGAAAACATAATGCTAACATTTTGTAAAATAATTTTTGTTTCCCGAAAGCAAGGGGACTTTAAATCTCGTTTGTCTGTCTGCCTGTCTGCCAGCGTTGATTTTCTCACTCTTATAACTTTCCATTTCAATGTTACTCATTGCTCGACGAATATTTCTTTCTTCTTCCTACGAGATGGACATTCGATTATGTAACAATTGATAAGAAACATCCAAAAGTTCCGTTTAAACGTAAATTTTTACTACTTTAAATCTCATCATAATTTAAACAATCAGGCAAATGTTTGTCTATCGCAACTCATACAATCATATTAAACAATGAAAACGAGAGACACTCCCCCTTAGTATGGTTATTGATCATCTTTACTCAATAAGACTTCAGAGTAGAAAAAGTTATCTTTTCCCATAGGGAGATTCCGGATCATTTTTAGTACCATGCTGAGAGAGCGGTTCCAACTCTCCAATCACACCAAACTTAAGTCTGATACTGTCATCAAATTAACTTTTTCCTCTCTTTTGATGCATCTGAGATACAATGTATATCTGCATCTTAAATATATATATATATATATAGTACAATATGTTTTAACATGCAGAATATATATATATATATATATATATATATATATATATATATATATATATATATATATATATATATATATATATATATATATATATATATATATATATATATATATATATTAGAACTTATAATCAATCAAATGAGGGTAATATACCTATTTTTTTGTTAAAAATGGGTTTTCAAATGTATAAAGTTAAAATGGTTTGGATTTTATCTTAGTGGGAAAATTATAACTTATTTGATATATAATGTCTTTTTACAGAAAGAGAAAGAAGCATAGATTCAGCGCTAAAAGAAGGTTATTTTTTCTTTTAAATATATAGGAATGACACAGCAGGCGTTTTATAACTGTTTGAAACTTTCGCCACTGTCTTATTTTTGTCGCCATGACCTTTTTACAAATGGGTGTATTTAAAGAAAGCAGTACAATTTCTTACACAGAGCTATGATTGGGCAAATTTAAAACGGGTCAAAATTGTTTGCAAGTGCAAAGGGGCCAAAATAACACGGGGCGAAAATATTCTTGTATACATTTTATTTCTTTAATTCCTACACACTACATAGATTTAAATTTTGTTAACAAAGTAGTAATTTATAATTCTTGTTGCATTCAGTTTTCATTGAAAAATACACTCGCGATGCAACAACCAAATTGAGTTTTAAATACAAAAATATGGTACTGCTTTAAAGTTTAAAGTTGATAAAATAATAATGTTTGGATAGAATAATTGGGAGAATTTTCTTTAAAGATT